GAGGCTTTCAAGGGTGGAAGTGTTTGCTGGTCCCCGGGTGGGGAAGGAGGCCCCTTCTGACCTTGGCGATCTGGTCGAACTTGCCAAAGAGTTCATTGAGCATGAGCACCAGCTCCTTGGGGGAACATTCGCTAGCCAGCCGCGTGAAGCCCACAATGTCCGCATACAGCACGCTGGGGAGGGCAGACTTTGTTAGTGGGGACAGGGTCCCTCAGCCCACAGTCTCCTTCCCTCCGTCCATCCTTCCTTATACCTGACTCCCCGATGCCTCTTGACATAGAGGCTGTGGAAGTTGTTGGTGCTTTCCGGCCGTGACCCCCGTCCAGCCTGCAGCCGTGCCATGATCTCTGCCTTCATTTCTCGGGCCAGGTAGGCAGGAAGGATGGACAAGAGAAGGTGTTCCTGGGGGAGGTCATTATAAGCGCCAACTTTCCTGCACCCTGCAGCCAGGAGCCCCAGCCCTCAAACCATCCAGGAACCCACACACTGCCCCACCTCCAACAGATGCTCCCCAACATACTCCCTCGGTTCCAGCACCCCATCTGTACTGATCACCTTTAGGGACTGAACTCCCATCACTGTTGCACAAATCAGAGTCTTTCACTTAGTATAATGTTCTAAAGCTCTTTTTTAAGCTTCAGTTTGTTTGAGCCTCACAATAACCTTCCAAGGTGGGCAAAGTCACATTTTCCAAGGGAGGAAAGAGGAGGTCAAATGGCTTGCAGCAAGTCACTCAGTTTGTGAAGCGAGTCCGCTTGTGTGATCTAAACACCTCCTCTGTCCGAGCCTGGGCCCACCCCGCCTCCCGGGAGCTGGCTGACCTGATGCTTTTTCTCGGTGTCCAGCCGCCGGCGCGAGTGTAGGGAGCTGAGCGCCTCTCGGAAGGTGGCGCGCAGCGCGCGCTCCATCAGCGCCTTGTGGTACGCTCCCGCCACGTTCCCGGACAGGAACAGCACCGCGTTTGCCACCAGCTGTGGGTGAGGGCCGGCCTCAGAGGGCGCGGGACCGGGGTGGGGAAGAGGAGGCTATGCGAGCCACTGGAGTTGGTCGCGAAGATGGGCTGGGGAGGACCAAGCTCTACAGTTAGGGACCTAAGTATTGAGGGACAAGCGGTGGCCACACTGTGGGTTCCTTAGGGCCGGTTCACTCCTCCCTGCTCCAGACCCTTGGCTGCTGCACCAACATGATCTCTTAGTTCTAGAAACATTTGCTTGTGCTGTTTCCCTTGCTCGGAGCACCACTTTACCATCTTCACTCCCTCACATTCCAGTCGCATAAAACTACTCAAGCTCACATTTTACATTCTCTGTGAAGGTTCCATCGTCCACATTTGTCACCGTGACTCCCTTCCCCGTGCGCCTAGAGCCCTCTTCTGGTGTCAGCAGGTATTGCACTGCAGTGGTTCCTGAGGTCCGCAAGAGCACGCTCGCGGTCTATCTGTATTTGTACCCCGCGCCCAGAGTTGCGCCCTGCTTTGTAGTCAGAGCTCAGCCAACGTTTGGAGAGCCAACTACCGCGCAGCAGAGTGGGCCCGGGTCTCCGCTTGTGCTAAGTGTGTGCTCACCTGGGGCAGCAGCGCGGGCCATGAGTCCGGCTGCGGCCCAAGGTACAGTCCAAGGACAAGCAGATGCGAGAGTGATGAGGCGAGGCCCGCGGCAGCGGCGTCCCGCATACCCAGGGGCAACATGGTGTACACCGTGAAGATGACAAAGAGGAAGAAGGACACCTGGAGGGGTAGAGAGACGCGGAAAGCAACAGGCTGACGAGGAGCTGCTCATGGCCTGGATGCGGATTTGAAGCTCCTGCACACTCACCTCCTCACCCCCACCCCCGCCCCAGCTGCCGCCCCTCTCCCACCTCTCACCTGGTCCCAAGCACTGACCACGCCCCCGGTGAACAGGAAGCCGTGGCCTAGCGCGAGCAGCGCGGCCCACACTAGGCCGGACAGGGGACGCGTCCAGCGCTGCAGTCGCTGCTCGCGGGAAGCCAGCCCCAGCAGCAGCGAGAAGCCTCCCAGTGCGCACAGCACAGTGGTCAGGAAGCCCGAGTCTGAGGCCAGCTCCTGTGGGGAGAGAGCGCGTTAGGCGAAGACTGGGTGGGGAGTTTGGGGAGCTTGCCCAAGCCGAGGGGGAGCAAACTAGGTAAGAGCGGGCAGCCCCCCTCAGGCCAGTTCTTAAAAGTCTGAAAAAGACACAGGCGTCTCTCCGCTTGCCAGTCGTCTTATGAAAGTGCTGATGTTCTTTTTGTATCCACAGGGCCGGCAATTTTATATGGTTCAACCCCACATCTCACTTGCCTGCTGCAGTGGCGGCTGGGAGCCTGGGACACGGGCCCAGAAGACCTGGTCATTTGTGAATCCATGACCTTTCTGAGCCTCAGTTTCTTATCTTTCAAACGGGAATCATAGTACCCTCCTAGGTCCTTGGAGTGAGCGAAAGATCCTAGCTCACAGAAGGCATTTAGTAATGAGTGTATCCAAATCTGGCCAATTTGAGAGATTACCGGGCCCGGGGTGGCGGGTGGGGGGGGGGGGCGGGGGCACCCGGGGCTGTTCGAAGCAGTGGTCGGGCAGCAGGGGACGCTCAGGGTCCGCCGCACCTTCACCTCCTCGCCGCGGTCGCTTGTGCTCTGGCCACCTGTCTCAGCTCTGGCGTATTAGTCCCACCGCTGTCGCTGCCCTTTGTCCCACCTCTTTCCGGACTTCGGGCTGGACCGGCAAAGACTGGCTCTGCCAATGATTTTCCCACCTTGCCTCCGAGGTAAACTCGGAGCAGGATATTTCCAGAAATGGATTTGAAGACCCCCTGTCTCTACCCCCTCCCACACACATACCCCCAAAAGAAACTGGAGATGGATTTATTTGGGGACTGAAATGAGAGAGGGATAGAGGATGCTTTCTGCGAGTTTGTGGGTACAACTGCCCCACAGGCCCTAAGAGGGAGAGAAAACCAGGAAACGAATTCCCCTGGTGCCTGAGTGGAATTCCCCCCTCCCCTGGAAAACTGGAACATCCGGAGTTGGATTTATTTTAGAACCAGTAGATAATAAAAGCTCCCAAGGTCTGTCAGAACCTGGAGAGAACTTAGAGGCGGCCCGGGCTCGGCTACCTCCCTTTGCAGACCCAGAGACTGTGGCCCAGAGAGGTGGAGTGACTTGCCCAGGGTCACCACAGTTTCGTAGTAAGGTCCAAAGCTTCTTTCACAGCTCCCAGTAAAGAAAACGCCCGGAAAAGAAAGCCTCATAAATTCCAACCCCCGAAACTGCCGCCCAGGTAGTGACCCTCCCTCCATCCCGCAGCAGAGAGACGCCGCCCTGCAGGAGGCGCCCAGCGCCGGAGGCCCCGCTCACCCTGCCGCTGGCCCAGGCGACCGCGAGCAGCGCCACCAGCGCGCAGAGTACGATCACCAGCAGCAGTAGCAGCAGCGGGTACTGCTGGCTTAGGCTGTAGTAGGTCTCGTAGAAGAGGTCTTCGCTGGGGGGCGGCCGAGGTCTGAAGAGGCGGGCCATGGTCTCCCCCACCCCGAGCCCCGGGCTGGAAGGGCCGGGCGCCGGGTTACCTCCTGCCGCCGGGCCCAGGCCCAACTGTGCTTCTCTTACTTGGTCTAAGCCCCTTCCAGCCCGCACCCCCAATCTCGCGGCAATCCGGTCTCCTTCCAGGACCTCCCTGCGGCCTCCCAGCCCTCTCCCAGCTGGTAGTGGGGGGACTCTCCAAGACTTCCCTGCTCCTCCCTCAAACCCAGACTGCAGAGGTGCCCTGGCAAGAGCCTTATCGCCAGGAGACAGGGATTGGGGTGGTTGCCGAGGAGCCCAGGGTTCCCACTTCCCGCTAACTCACTGCCCGCGACGTCACCGACACAGGGAGCCGGCGGGGTGGTGGTTGCTGAGTCAAGCTCGCCGCCGAGGCTGCGAAGCCTTGAAGCTAGTGGTTCAGAGCCCAGGGCGACAGGCGCTTCCCTCTAGGCGCCGAGGCCCCCTCCCACTTCCCGGACCGACAGCCCAGCCCCTTCCCGTGCGGGAGCCTGACTCCTCTGGCTTCCTCTCCGACTCTGATAGTCTCTCCTAATACCACCGCCTTACCCCTACGGCTTCCTCGAGGAAGGGGAATGCGGACCGTAGGAGATACGGGGATGGCGGGAGAGAGAGAGGTGGACGGTATTAAAATGAGGACGGGATGCTTGGATGTGCGGGAACCGGGGGAGGGTTGGAATCCGGCCTGGCGAGAATGTAGGGAAGAACGCGGGTCTCGGTACCACATGGGGGCTGGGATCGATTCAGAATGGGGGCTGCGCATTCCCCTCCTCTCTCTGCCGCGCTGGCAGTCGCTGTGGCTCTGAACTGTCGATGTTCCTGCCGTCTCCTGCTCCGTGGGAGGTGGCACGTCTGTGCTTAGCTTTTTGGAGCCATAGCTTTCCACTCCCGAACACCAACGGGGAATCATAAGGGCTCCCACACCTGGGAAGCAATGTGCATGTAAGTGTGCATGATGGGGAGAGGAGGTGATAGTATGGGGAGCTGACCTCGGCGTCAGGGACATCGTGCAGGGCACAAGAAAGGCCGAGGTCTGCGAATTTCCATGGAGGCCCCCCGCCCCCGCCCCCCCCCCCAGGGCTGCAGTAGTGTTTCTAAAGCCCAGAAGAAAAGGATGGCGGCGGGACCACAGCCTCTATCCCCAGAGCTTAGGTTTAGGGTGGGGTGGCGGTGCCCTGGCTCCAGAGGAAGTGCTCCGGCCCGAGATAAGAGCAGCTGGGGAGCCAGGCCTCTGGGATTCCTTCCTGCCGCCGTCTGGGCCCTGACCTTGTGTGCCACGCCATTGCCCGTCCCCAGCCCCCAGCGTCCAGGCTTCCGGCCTTGGAGAGGCTACAGTGCCTCTCCATCCCTCGCTGCCAGCTCAACAGCCCACCGTGGCTGTCCCTCCTGGCCTTGGTCAGACGCCTCAGCCACCAGCTTCACGCTTTGGCTAAAATTCCACCACATTTATTGACTGAGTTCTTCCTGGGGGCAGTTTACAAAGTCGGCTTGGGCACAGGCCAGTGGGCCCTCCAAGACAGTCGTGGCTACAAGAAGTGGCACTTGCTGCCTCAACCCTGAGACAGTTTAGAAGGTGCTCCAATTAACATTATTATATTCGCCCTGTGACCCACTCCACGCTTCAGGCTCTTAGGGGCCCTTCTTCGGAAGCTACTTCTGGGTGTTCTGCCAGTCCCTACCCACGCTGGGAGGTGCTGGGCCCTCCGTGGGCAGGGTGGGTCTCCCTAGTATGTTCATGTAGTTGTTGTTTCCAATCTGCACCTCTTGCCACCCATGTAGGACTATAGACGGCTGCATTGTAAGAGAAATTAGGAATGAAATTAGGAGAGGCAGTGACACCTCGTGTTCACCCTAGGGAAATGCAAGTATTGGGTCTCTGAACCAGCCAGTGGCTGAGACAAGGTGTGCCCTTGGCCTTCCCCTTCAGGCTGCCCCTCCAGAATTGGGTTTGCAAAAGCTTAAGAAGAGTGGTAACTGACAGTTGAGACACTGATATTTTAGTCTGTTTGGTTCAGAGGCCCTCTGGACCGACATAGCAACAATGGCACTTAGTGGGGCTCACAGAGCTGGTACTGGGAAAGTCAGAAGACCAAGGGCCAAATCCAGGCTTTGCTATGTGATCTCAGTGGGATCCCCTCCCAGTGGATATCAGTTTCCTCATTTATTAAAGAAAGACGTTGGGTTAGATGATCTCTAATAGCAACCACCACCACCACCACCTTCTACCCCCCGCTCTCCCCTCGGCCAAGGTATCTGGACCTTCAGATCTTGAGGAAGAAGCTGGTGAAAGAATTGAGCAGGGGAAAGGAGGGGTGAAGGGTGAGTACCTGGTATTGGATTTAGCTCTGAGTCCCAGTGGGGCCAGTTCTTGTCATGTCTCTCAGCCCCCTGCAAACAAACACAGAGCTCTCGGGTCCCCTGTCCAGGGGCTGGATTCCTCTACTGTACACCCCTTCAGCCCCAAGTTTTCCCTGGCAAAAGAACAGTATTCACAGGGCACTCCAGCCCATCCCCTAGTCTCACCAATGGCTCACCTGATTCCCTTGGGTCCCAGGATCTGGGACCCAAACTGAGGTGGAGTTCGGTGTCTGGCTTCTGAAAGGTGAGATCTTTGGAGTTTGGGGAGGTTGGGCAGTTGAATCTGAAGAGGCCCCTGCTATCCTGGTATCTTGAACCTGCCCTCCTTGTGTCCTGATCTTCTCAGTAAGGCTCGTGCTTTTTTCAGGAACAGTGCCGGGGCACTCCTCCAGGTGTAGGTTGTTCAGGCTCTCAGAGACTATGGAATCATTCCAAGAGCACTGGCTTCCCATGATTCTCCCAGGGTCATCCATTTCTCTCTCTCCTGGGCCTGGTTCTAGCAAAGACAACCTTCTATTGCTTCCCCTCTGCTCGGAAAGAAACTTCTTCACCTGCAGACACAGGAGGAACTTGGTGGGTGTGAGAGAGCCAGAATTAACTGGACAAAGTAGTCTCTTGGGCCATATTTACTGCCTGGGAACTTGAGAGTTGATAGGGAGTGGACAGGATTAAGGCATAAAGAACAGTGGTCAGTGCAGAGTCATTGGGTGGCCAAGGGAGCCATGTTGTATCATCCCTGGGAGTATGGGTGGGGGTTCACCATGGAGACAGCAGCATCCATCTTGTCCTGCACCAGAAGAAAGGCTTCGGAGGTTTTTGATCAGCAATCTGGAGAGACAGCAGAGCGGGTTGCAGGTGAACAAAACTTCTTCCTAGGGTAAAGCCCCCTGCTGACAGACTCAAGTCTGTCCCAGCTGCCTGCGAAATGGCCAACTCACCATGGAAGGAGGGCCTATCCCTGGGCTCATGGCTCCAACAGTGCTGCATTAACTTCTTCAGCCGGGAGTGTTGGGCCCCAGCTCCGGCAGCTCACTCAGAAGGGGCGTTCCTGTTTCTCACACACTGCTACCTGTGCCAGTGATGTCTGGACCACCACTAGGGGGTGTGGGTGGGGGTTGAAGAAAAGAGAAGGTATTCAGGGTATGCCTCTTTCTCCATCATAGAAATGGTCAGGGAGTGTAGTCCAAGCGGAGGTGAGGAGGGAATAGGGTGGACTAAGTAGATAAGCAGGAAGGGGAGGGCTTGGAGGCTTGGGCTTGTGGGAGAAGGGCACCTGGGGTTAAGGATCCCAGAGTCGGCCTAGAGTCTTACTTTCAGCTTCTCTTCCGGCTAGCACTGACCACATTAAGATCCCGAAGCTGGAGGAGACAAAAAGCTGAGGCAGCGAATGGCAACAGTCCTCTCTCATATACCATGCATCCCTTAGAGAGGTGCCAAGTATGTGTTTAGGACGGGTACCTTACCTGTAGACATCACTGTCCATGGTGGCCCTCTGGTTTACATCAGCTAACAGTTCTGGGGCCAAGTAGCTTAGGGTGCCCCCTGGCTCACTGAATCCTGCCCCTGATCGTGAGCCCCCTTGAAATGTTGACAAGCCAAAATCTGCCAGCTGCAAATGGAGGGAAGGAGGAGGAGGTAGAAGAAGGGGCCAGGTAGCCTCCAGAAGCACCCTCTCCCCAGCAGGTGAAGCCCCAAAGGGAGTGTGAAGGATCAGAGGAAGGGTAGGGTCAGTGGGGCCCTTGGGTTGGAGTTCTGAGTCCCCTTCTCAGTGGAAGTGGGTCAAGGCCTGAGTCTTCTGGCCCAGGTTGGCCATGGTTCTTTGAGGGCCTGGTTGGGTGGGCTTGTGGAATTGATGTTTGTGGGTCAAAGTTTTTGTCTCCTGGTAGGGAAGGGCTGAGGCTTCTGGGTAGGCCTTGGCCTCTGGTCAGCTCTGTGTCCAGAGGGAGAGGCTGAGGGTATCCAACAGGACAAGGTTGTGGCAGGGCCTGTGTCAGGTGGGCTCCAGAGGCTCTGGGGCAGGGCTTGGGCCTGAGACAGGGCTGGGGTGTGAATGGGCTGACCTTGGCATGCAGCTCTAGATCCAGCAGGACGTTGGAGGGCTTGAGGTCTTGGTGCAGCAGTACCGGGTTCAAGCTGTGCAGGTAACACATCCCTAGCACAACCTCATGCAGCAGGCGGCAGCCAAGCTGTCACTGCCAGGGCCGAGGGCATTGGTGCTGCAGCAGCTCAGATAGGGAGCCATTCTCCATGAATCGAGTCACCAAGGTCGGCCCGCACACATTCTCCCACTCCAGTTTCTCGGTGACCCCTAGCAGAAGTAGCACATACTGGTTTCGCAGATTTGCCATGGCTTTCACCTCCCGGGATATGGCCTTCCTACAAGCCAGGAGAGGGTTGTCGAGTGGGCGGGGTCCTCGGAAAACCCCTCCCCTCTCCATTCAGGTCCTGGAGCACAGCAGGGTTACGGGGTCACTCACGAGTTCAAGAGCTTGACCGCTACATCATAGCCCCACGCCCTATGATGTGCCCGGAACACCGCGCCGAACCCGCCTTGGCCGACGAACTTCAGGTTCTCCAGTTCCTTGTTGGGCACCAGGGGTGCGGAGCCGCCGCTGGACCTGAGAGAGGGACCTTGTTCACCAGCCAGCCATGGCCCCACGTCGGCGCTGCTCCCTCTACTCCCCGTGTCTTGGCAACGTCCATACAACCCTCAGTCTCCCCCGCCGGCACCAGCGCCCCTGGCCTTGGCACCGACGCAACCGCGTTCCCTGAGCTTATGTGCCAGGCGCCCTGTGCAGAGTGTCGGAGACTGCGGAATCGACTCCCCACTCACCATAACTTGGAGGAAGACGTCAGACTGGAGGGTGTGAGAGGCTTCTGGAAATCGTGAGACACACGGATGGGGTGACTTCTGGGAGGCGGAGTTGGGGGTAGGCGCTGGAGAGGGGCAATCTCTAGACGCGGCACGGTTTCGCTTCCCGGGTCGCTCCGCAATACCGAGGGACTAAGCAACTTCCTTCTCCGACAGGTGACAGGCGCCTCCACAGTCCCGCCCTTGGGGGTGGGGCGGAACTGAAAGCTAGTGCTTTTCTCTTCTGATTAGTGTTTTCTTGAGCACCTGCTGCGTGCCACATCCGGATTAGGTGTCGCTGGGCATTTAGGGTGCCAGGGAAAGAATTCTCACCTTCCAGGAATCCACAATCAGCCTGTGTCTCTCCCTTCTCCCACCCAACCCCCAGCTCTACCACCTGCCAGACCCTGTGGGGGTTCTTAGGAGAGTTTATGGGCCAGGTGCTCAGCTCTCCCACACCTCCCCTAAGTTCATTCTCTAATAATTACCATGTGCCAGGTACAAATATTAGCTTGTTTAAAATCTCACATCAACCCTACGGGAGTCATACCGCTTTTAACCCTTTTTAATAAATGAGGAAACTGAGGCACCAATAGTTTATCTTTGCTAAGCCAGTACGGGAACTGGCTCTAGAGCCTGACTCTTAACCATCAGATTATCCTATTTTCACATAGGCTTCAGGGCTGTACCACTCAGCTGCTTGTGAAGATGGTTGGGGAAGGTATGAAGTGTCCAACAATGTAGTGAAGGGTCCCTATCTGTATTCCTGCCCAGTCCCTGATAGCTGCTCTTGCTGAAGCAAGCCTCTGGCATTGGTAATGACTTGTCTGTCCTATGAACTGGAGCTCCTGGAGCTGGCAAGACCAAGACCCATTCTCAAGGCTTTGTGGTCAGGCTAGATATATTGTGCAGCCAGAGAGTTAACAGCACTATGGTGTCCACTGCAGTGGAAACACCTCAGAGCTCCTCACCACCACCCTGATGCCAACTCCTTCATGCAAATACCCTGACTAATTCATGTTCCTGATAAGCATATGGTCTAGATTTGGACCTTTGAGAATTCCGGAGCTTGGGGAGGCTTAGGAGCCTTGGTAGGCCAGTGGTTAAGAGCTACAGCTACTAACCAAAAGGTTGGCAGTTTGAATCCACCAGCTACTCCTTGGAGATCCTATAGGGCAGTTCTACTCTGTCCTGTAGGGTCACTATGAGTCAAAATAGACACAACGGCTTTGGCTTCTATTCTCTAGGGAGGCTTAAAGATTAGGGTAGACAAAAGATGTCCATACATTACCTCCCCAGGACTCTGGCCATGGCAGGAAGTTTTGGGAGCTAGCCCTAGGGATTCAGTTCTTTGTGAGGAGACCCAGCCCCGGGGGTCATGCTCCAGCATTCACTAGACGGTGCTCACCTTGGTAGTCACTCTCTGTTCTGTCCAATGGTCCATGGGCTCTGCTGGTTGGAGCAGAAGCAGCCAGCAGTGATTTCCAGAGCAAGTGGGAACCCTAGGCTCCACACCATGGATTCTGGTGGGGTCAGTTCATGTTATTTTGGAGCTACTCAGGCAATTCCTAAAGGTTACTTCTTAGACTATAAACTTGTTGCCATCCAGTCAATTCCAACTCATAGTGACCCTATAGGACAGAGTAGAACTGCCCTGTAGGGTTTCCAAGGAGCAGCTGGTGGATTCAAACTGCCAGCATTTTGGTTAGCAGCCGTAGCTCTTAACCACTATGCCACTTTAAAAGCCAGTACATGCTAGGTGCCCAATAAATATTTGTTGAATTGAATGAAAGAATAAACAACCAAAAGTTTTGGGGCTTCCTCAAGACAATAACCGATAACCGCAGCTGCAGTTCCATACTCTTTGGGAGCCAAGGGGAGATTTGGCTCCTTTATAGTTTGGGGGCTCTCACCTGCATGGTTGACAGAATCCATTAGAAACAGGCTTTATTCTAGAGATATGGTGGTGTCTCAGAATCCAAAGGCAAGAAATGCAGCAGCTCCTCAAAAACACATAGAGACAGGAGCTGAGAGCCATCAGAAAGGACAGCCACTCCCTTCATCATTCTCTTTTGGGAGAAGAACCTGGGCTCAACACTTCCACTTAAAGGGAGCAGGCAGAAAGGAGTTAGAAAGGTGTTTAAAGATCTTTTTATGACTGGGTTTCTTCAGATTGGGATAAGACCCCAAGAATCAGGGAGGCATTGGGTTGAGGATGGTGTCAGAGCTTGTATTACATTATGACACAAAATAAATCAAGAACGATGGGCAAGAAGAGGGGTCTGGAGTAAGCACCTAAGAAGGTCTTCTGCTTCAAGGAGGTGGTGTATGCGGGGGGTGTGGGGGGGGGAGGAGCAAGGCAGAGTTGATTCCTGGATATCTGTGTTCCTGACCCCGTTTCCCAGGCTTTCGGAGTCTAGTTGGGTGTCTCTCACCCCTTCAATGCTCTGCTCCTTCTGATTGTCTCTGAGCCTCCAGCCCATCCCTGGTGCCTGCTCTGGTTCCTTATCCCTGGTGGTTGTGTGTAGGGCAGTGGCTCTTCCTGAATATTCTAGTCCTAATTCTCATCTGTTGTTTGATTAAGAGATTTCCAGCAAACTGTTTGTGCCACCCAAGGACCTGATTTAAAAAGGATCTTCAAAAAATATGACTCCATGTACTAAATGGGAAAATTCATATTAAAAAACATTTAGTTATTTGATTTGAACATTAAATTTTACTGAGAAAAGAAAAAAAAATTTCTCCCAGTAAAATATATAAATATATGGAAAATAGAAAAAAAATGTAAAAATATATATGTAAATATATAAAATATAATTATATAAGCATATATAACATTAAATGTATGTGAGATATATATAATATGTATATAAATCACTGCCTTTGTGTTGATTCTGACTCATAGTGACCCTATAGGACAGAGTAGAACTGCCCCATAGGGTTTCCAAGGCTGTAAATCTTTATGGAAGCAGACTGCCACATCTCTCTCTCCTATGGGGCAGCTGATGAGTTTGAACTGCTGACCTTTTGGTTAGCAGCTGAGCATTTTAACCACTGCGCCACCAGGGCTCCTTGATTTTTTTTATTTTCTTACGTTTTAAATCTGTGTTTTCTAATTTTCCTAAAATGAATTTATGAAATGTGTAGAGTCATAATACATTCCCCTTTTCCTTTGGGACATTGACCAGAGATATAGCAGCTTCCTTCTCCCATCTACCAATACCCTAACCTAGAAATCCAGTCTTTGCTGCTTCCTCTTGATTTCCTGCAACTCTAAGTAGGCCTACTGTTATCACCTTTAATACTTGATTGAAGTTAGCCCTTGGAGTTACAATGAATGAGTAAGATTTGGACCTTTGAGAATTCAGGAGCTTGGGGAGGCTTAGGAGCCCTGGTAGTGCAGTGGTTAAGAGCTACAGCTACTAACCAAAAGGTTGGCAGTTTGAATCCACCAGCCACTCCTTGGAGACCCTATAGGGCAGTTCTACTCTGATTTCAGTCAGAAAGGATATTGTGAGCAAAGGTGCAAAGTTCGCATAGGATGGGAAAGGTGGTAGTTCAGACTGGCTAAGGGGCCCTTTTTGCTCCTGTGCATCATTATCATTATATCACCAACAATGATAAGCCAGGCTTTTTGACACTTGGTATTTTCCAAAGCACTCTGTCAGTAAGTCATCACAATCCTGTGAGGTTGGACTTATTGTCCTAGTTTTGCAGCTGAAGAAATAAAATGGCCTCATTTTTTGTCTGGGTGTGAAAACCAAACATGAAGTGGTAAGAAACACTTTTTACTGTGGTAGTGCAGATCCCTCCCACTGGGGCAAGGCTGCTCCAGCTCATCAGGGGAACTCTTATCTCTCTGCTCAGCAGCTGCTGAAAAACAAACCTTCACCAGAGGGGGAAAGGGTGCAAGCACAGGCAAACGAGCTGTTACTTTTTGGACTAAAGCAAAACAAGCCCAAACTTGCCAGGGAGTTGATCCTGACTCATGGCAACAGAGTAGAACTGAGCTTCATAGGGTTTTCATGATTATAATCTTTATGGAAACAGATCCCTAGGCCTTTCTTCCATGACGCTGCTGGGTAGGTTCAAACCACCAACCTTTATACGTTAGTAGCTGAGCGCAAATCATTTGTACCACCCAGGACTCTTTTGACACTAGGCCATGCTTAAAAGGCTGTGTGGAAAAGACACACACAAAAATGTCCTCAAGGTTTGAACAGAGAAGAGTGTTATGGATTGAATTGTGTCCTCTCAAAATCTGTATTGAAATCCTAGCCCCTATACCTGTAATAAGATCCTGTTTGGAAATAAGATTTTCTTTGTTATGCTAATTACAGGTCATACCTGAGTAGGGTGAGTTCTAAATCTAATCACTTCTGAGTTACAGAAAGAGCAGAATGGACACAGAGTCATGTATGGGAAAAGACAGACGCTATGTGAAGATGGTCTATAAGCCAAGGAATGTCAAGGAACCAAGGGAATGCCAGGGGCTACTGACGAGGAAAAAATCAATATCTTCTGGGTTCCAAAGGACTGAATCAACTGAAACCCTAATTTGGACTTTTAGCCTCCCGAACTGAGAAAAAATAAATTTCTGTTCTTTAAAGCCACCTACTTGTGGTATTTGTGCTACAGCAGCACCAGGTAACTAAGACAAAGAGGTATGGGAAAAGCATTCCATATGAAAATGGACCCCACCCACTATGCCTCCCCGCCCTGTCCCCCTTCCCTTGGGGTTCTTCCTTTTTTGAGAGCCCTCAACCCCACAGTGCCCAGGGCATGCTCTTCTCCTTTAGGACTCCAAGAAGGTCAAAAGCCCCTTTTTACTTATTTTTACTTACCAAACTGAGAGAGACTGTGTTTTCATTAAGAACCACACTGCCTGTACTGCCATCTATCCCAATAAAATGGAATCCCTGTGCCTAATGTATTTCCTCACAGAGTGCATTTCAGAATCATATCCTGAAAAGTCCTTTTGGCAGAACCTAAATCTCATGTCTACATCCTTAAGGCAAGGGGGACTGGAAAATGTAACTTCTTTTGGTTCTGCATTAGCACAGTGGGACTAAAAAGATTTTGGACAGCCATAAATGATAAATGCTCACACACATATAACAACCATAATTTACCATCTATCAGTGTAGGGTCCTTTTCTCTTTGTCTACTGTGTCTCGCTAATTTCCAATTTCTCAATCTCTCTGAGCTTCAGTTAATTGTAGTACCTAATGGATTGGGTTACTGTGAGGAAGAAATGAAATAAGGTATGAAAGACGCAGGACATTTCCTGGCACATACTAACTGCACAATAAATGATAGGCATTATTTCAATAAGCATTACTGAGTTTCCAATCGAAGGAATATTTCTAGTTCTCAACAAAATGTGAGGCAGAGATTATTATCCCCATTTTATGGATGAAGAAACTAAGGAGGCTGTGAGAGGTTAAGTAACCAGCCCAAGGACATACAGAGCAGGGTTTCAAACCCAGGTCTGTTGTCTCTCAGCTATTTGCAGAGCAGAGAATATTCATTTAACTACTGCTCAGTGAAATACCTGTAGTAAGCTAACTTTACCTTCTGGGAAGTTCCCAGCCCTACCCAATCCCACGGCTTGTTTAATGACTCACCCATAAGGTATTCTTTCTCTTCTCTCCTAGACGGTATCCTGAGGGAGTGATTGAGGAAGTCAGTTGTGTCTCTCTGCCTGTAGTCTTGAGGAGAGAGGGCTTTAATGCCAGGTTTCTGGCTTCTCTGCTGAAAGGTACTTGAAGTTTGCCTGTCTGATGACCATGGTGATGTCATCTACAGGGTGGAGAAAGAGAACCCAATGAATCCAATAAATGGAGACCTGATAATGGACAAAATTACACTTCACTGACTTAGAAAATGGGAGCAGGAGCCCTAATATATATCTTTGCACTCAATTCTCTGGGAAACATGATCTTTCCCTTCTAGCTGGAGCTGTCTGTATCAATGCTTTTCAAACTATTTATGGTGAAGGGCTGGTTTTTAAAATTTCTAATCCCTCACAGATTTAAAAAAAATCTTTTTTTATTATACTTTAGGTGAAGGTTTACAGAACAAATATTTTCTCATTAAACAGTTAGTAGACATATTGTTTTATGACCTTGGTTAACAACCCCACAACGTGTCAACACGCTCCTTTCTCAGCCTTGGAGGACCTTTTTTTCTGGTAAAAATATACATAGCCAAAGATACACCATTTCAAAAATTTCTACATATACAATTCAGTTAAGTTGATTACGTTCTTCCAGTTGTGATGCTATTCTCACTTTAAATGAAGGTTTACAGAACAAAATAATTTCTCATTAAACAGTTAGTACACATATATTGCCCTATGACAATGGTTAAGAACCCCACTACATGTCAACACTGCCCTTACTGAACCTTGGGTTCCCTATCACCAACTTTCCTGTCCCCTTCTACCTTCTAGTCCTTGTCTCTGGACTGCTGTGCCTCATTAGTCCTGTTTTGTTTTATGAGGCTGTCCAATCCCTGGCTGAATGGTGAACCTCGTGAGTGACTTCACCACTGAGCTAAAAGGGTGTCTGGGGGCCATACTCTTGGGGTTTCTCCAGTCTCTGCCAGGCCAGTAAATCTGGTCTTTTTTTTTGTGTTAGAATTTTGTTCTACCTCCTTCTCCATCTCTGTCCAGAGCCCTCTGCTGTGATCTCGGTCAGAGCAGACAGACAGATATTTTTGACAAACACAATAAAAACTCATTACCAGAAAAATTAAATGAAAAAAATATATAAGCCTCAATTTTTTAATTATTAGATTCAACAGACATAAAATTACTTTGTTGAATTGCTATACAAGTTTCCCAACGTTACTTTCAATTTCTGTTGTTGTCTCATTACAAGCATAACAAATGATTCATGGAGCAGCACTGGGCTGT